TATATATATATATATTTTATATATACATATAATTTGTTTTATTGTCGCCTGCTTGTGGAAAATATCTAGAAAAAAAAAAGAAAAACAGAGTGTGAAAAAGAGGAAATACAGTTGATTTTTGTACTCCAACGCATCCTGGTCTGTGACACAAAATCAAGAATGGAATTAATTTTGTGGCTACAGATTATATGGTACATTGGAGATAGTGTCAGGGTTTATTTCGAGATATAGGAAGGAAGTTTATTATGAGATATTTTTTAAAATAATCAAAATTTTAGAGAAACCGAAAATTGAGTTCGACAAAACAGCGATTGACAGCAAAGCCGGTGAAAAGTTGGAAATTCGTGCAGATATTTCGGGGCTACCTACGCCAGATTGCATTTGGCTGAAGGATGGCTCAAAGTTGACAGCGAACGGAAATACAACTATTACGTCCAAGGATGGAGTTGCTTCGGTAGTCATCAAAAACGCAGATGCTGGATGCTCCGGGGTCTACAAACTCATGGTGGAGAATGAGTTCGGAAAAGATGAGGGCGAAGTTACAGTGCAAATCAAAGGTCACTGGTTTTTGTAGTTTGATTTTTTGTATCACTGTATGAACAAATAAAATGGAAATGTTTTTGCGGAAAAAATGATAAAGCCAGAATTATTGTTGATGAATAAATTTTTTTCACAACTGCAATGAAAATTTTCAAGTTTTATTAAAACTGCTGTTCCCAATGATTCCATAAAATGCATCATTTTGCCGCTGCAGGAGTGCCATCAGCACCGGTTGGCCCTCTGGAGGTAACGGATATCACGGATGTGTCTTGTAAAATTACATGGAGACCGCCGGAACATGACGGTAACAGCAAACTGCTTGGGTATTGTGTCGAGAAACGTGAAGCTAAAAAATCAACATGGGCATTTGTTACACGCACGACATCAACAACTGCTGAAATTTCCGGCTTATCTGATACTACAAAGTATTACTTCCGTGTTACCGCGGAGAATGCTTTTGGCAATGGTCCAGCAGTCGACACCAAGCAACCGGTTCAGCCAAAAAAATCTACTGCTGGTGGGCTCATAGTTTTATTTCACAGAATCTTTTTGGAAAAATGGGCTTAACGTTTATCCACGCTGATCTGATACTTCAGTTTGGCGTCGCTGAATTAAATAAGTCCGACCGGCTTAAAATTGGTGCTTCGGGAACTGAGTGTATCTTCTCTTGCCGTATAAATTTTTGTTGTACCTGACAGTTTCGGTATTTTTTGATCGCGAAAGAGATGAGTCCCGTATGTATGCCATTATTGCGATAAGCCATGTGCGTAAGGGTATGCATCTGGTTCCTAAAATGATTTTGATTGGAGGGAATGTGAGGTATGGATTTCTAGGTGAAGAAAAGCCGAAAATTACGAAAGCCCCAGAAGATACAGTTGGCAAACAAGGTGATAAACTTACGTTGCGCGTTGAGTTCACTGGTAAGCCAGCGCCTGAAGTTCGGTGGTACAAAGATGACGAGCTGATTCTGCCAAATGAGAACATCGATGTTGCGGTAACGAGTACGGCATCTGCGCTTACAATCGAGAAGCTGGACCAGCAGAATTCTGGAGATTACAGGGTAAGCGCTCTCCACAGGCTTTTAAACGCTATTTTTGCGATTCTTTGTGAAATTTAATTTTCGAATTATATTTAGCTAGTTTTGAAAAAGATAATCTAGGTCTGATTTCGGATTCAGTTCAACTATCTCCCATTGTGCTCGATTCCATGGAATTGTTTTTTATTTCAGCTTGTTCTGCAAAGTAAAAAGACTTTGGTGGAGCACAAATTCAAAGTGGCAGTCAATTCGGAGCCTGTGATAATTGATGCTGACAAGTATTCCCACGAACATCTGGTTTTCCAGAAGGGCGAAAATGTCACATTACAACTCAATTTCTCCGGTCAGTTGTCCTAGCTTCAGATCTCGTAAAATTATTAGTTCAGGATGAAGTTTTCTGACGATTTTTTTTTTTACCGAGTTGAACAACTTTCACAACAGAAAAAAAAGATAAATTTAACGGAAAAACGACTGAATTTGGAAATCTTGCCTGAATTTACAGGATGCAGTAAAGCATGCATGCTAACGGAACTGATCTTGCTTGCCTCCCCTTTGTTTCAACTTGCGCCTCTGTTCTTAGACAATATGCATAATTTGTTTCCCGTATGCAAAAGGGTGACACAGGTTGGGATTTCGTAAATAATAAGTTATACTGACAAATTGCATTACTAGCACAAAACGCATCTGATATACAAAAATAAGGCGTTGTTTTGTATCGTAAGGAACACCGAGTCCATCCAGCTAACAGTATAACATAATTTTATGCAAAGGAAAAAAAATGCATAGTGTCTGGTGCGAATGCTGTTTTGGGTTATCATCATTAACTGTCATCGTGATGATAATAATTCAAATTGATGGTGGTAATTCGTAATGAATTATCATCATTACTATTGTGCGTCTTTTTCCTCGTCAAGTCAACAAAACGAATGCTATTTTTGTACGTCAAATTTTAAATTTGTTTCTATCAAACGAACTGCTTGTTTTTTGTCCTTTATGAGCTCAGTAATGAAACAACGAAACAAAATTTGCAGCGATACCTCTCAATAACTAAATAGTAAAAAGGCAGCAACAACTTCAAAGATTAACTACATAATGCACATTGTCAGTTAGATTTTAGTAGCACAGTGTAATGTTATCATTAAATCACTGTAAATACGAATTTTCGGCGCGTCTATACTAATAGCACTTTTAAATTGTGCAAAAACCGATCGTTAAAATTATATAAAAAAATTGATTGAATATAAAAAGAAAACATAATTTTGCTTGCCACATTAATTCAAAATTCGAGAGCTGATGTGCTGGTTTTTTTTCTTCGAAAGTTGACAACTTGTTTTGATTTGAGCTTCGGAATGTCTGATCAAGTATGCCCAGGCGCTGTTTCATTTTCTCAATGTCTTATTAGTAGCAAACATAATCTTTTGAGTAAACCAATGGGAGCGACCAAAGCTAGTCTTTAATTGTAACACTTTGCTCCACTGAATAATCAACAGTTTGCATAGATTGAGCGTTTTTGACGGCATTTGTATTACCTCGTTATTGCGCGACTTCGTAACAGAAATAAGGAAAAAAGAGTCGAAAAAGAAAACAAGTGAACAAATGATTTCGTGTAAAGTCAGGCCTCTCTGCAGCGGAAGGTGGGATAGACGAACGATGGTTAAGAGTCTTCATTCGCTTCCTTGTTAAGCATTGACTGTATCGTTTGTTCTTGCCGCATCTGATCCACTTTTTGCTGCTCCGCTTGCTGCTCATCCTGTGCCACTTTGATGAAGTTATCCACGATTATTGTGATTGGCAGGGCTAGCACCAACACGCCGCACATTATCGCTGCTGACGCTATGATTTTGCCCACTGCAACAACAACAACATTCACGTTTTGAACAAAAATCTGCGACAAGGTTAATAGTGAATCCGTAAAATTTACTTGTTGTCGCTGGCACAGCATCCCCGTAGCCAACTGTCGTCATCGTTACTATACCTGCAATTCGCACACATTTCATTTTTAGATACAATCATTTTTATTAAATAGCTAAGTATCTTGCACCAACCGTCTGTTCTGGATCACGGAAAAGCGTTGTGCCCCCAAAATTCGCTCTCATTTCCAATCAGTTACCTGCGTAAGTCTGTGCTCGCGATTAAAATTATTGCCATTTGTCTACGAATGAGCTTTGCTTCTATTTCAGATTGTTAAAGCCATTTTGACTATCTTAATCATGCGCTTATATGCAAGTTGCAAAAACGCATATTGCAACAACCCTATCTGTGTGTATGTTTGTGTGTGTGTGTTCGTCTGTCCGGGTATTTCAACTCGGCAACCAAGCAATCTCCGGCGCCAAAATTTTGCTGATGGTTTCCACGGCCAAGTGCCACCCCAGGACCGCGGTACCGGCCCTCGCGCAAATCTGAGCCCCATGTACGAGAGGGTGAAAGTTTTGACAGGAAAATTGTTAACTCGGAAAAGAGAAAAGCTAAGAAGCTGAAATTTTGAGATTATATTCCCCGTACAAACACAACTTAAAGGTTTCAAATTCAGCCTCCAGGTATGCGTGATTTTCGTATACAGGCACTTAAATTTTTGACGGGAAAATTACTCAGCTGGGTCATTTTCAAAAAACGACCGCTAAACGGAAATAGTTTATTTCCTTTTATGCAAGATTTACGATGATTTACGGCATTGAGCCCACAAAATAGGTGTGAATGCATGCAGTTAACCTAATTACTTCAAGTTTGGTGCAAAAACGCATGATCGCACCGGCTCGCCTGGTG